TAAACCAAATGGTTAATACTCGGAATTACATGATTTATTTCTTAACATTATTTGGTCAGTGTTAAACATCAACCAAGTAAAGCACAACATTAATTTATTTTATTGCCAAAGTCTAATTGCTTCTACATGCTAAAAAAACTTCCCCTGATGCTGATCAACATTACAATAAGTCTTTCCTTCAAGCATTATAACAAATTCATCTGTAACTGTTGATAATTTATCTCTAACGCCCCCAGTATACTGTCGCGTACGTCCATACACGGAGGTACAAGTGTACCCCCCAGGACATGACTGTGCAAAGCTCAATTTTTACGACCGCGTACGCAGTGTCGCACAATAAACTGCCCAGCGACGGACTGTTTTGTATGCGACACCGATGTATTAAATTCCCCTTCTTCATCTCTGATCTGGCCTTTTCTTTTGTTTTTTTGCCAAGAGGCAGTGATCTCTTCCTCCTCCATTGATGCCATCACAAATGGTGAGAAATGAAGGAATTTGTCACGAGCGAATTAAACTCAGGTCCAGCGTGGCTGTGGGAGGGTCTGGAGATTTCCTGGTGGGCTGGTCTGATGTGTGGGCTGCAGGACCAACGCTCCCTGTTTTTAAATTTTTTTAGATCTTTTTATTAACAACATATAAACAAAGAACACTGCTGCGGCTGAGGCTGCCAGTGCTCGTTTTTTTCTTTCCCACCTGTCAATCAATCCAGTAGGCGTGTCAGCAAATGACCAATCAGCAAACTTAATTTGTCCCGAAGGTAAACGCTGGAGCAGAGATTGTAGATGCACAGCTCAGATACCAGACCGTGTCAACCGCACGCAATACAAACATAGTGATCTTCTATACCAACCCGTCGACAACTGCCAGCACTTACAAAGAACTATCCTAACCAACCCCAACCCCCGAGAAACGCACCGCACACTACAAACATAGCTCTCTGCTACTGCAACAACTGCGCACAGTGCAAATGCAGTGCTCTGCTTCTGTATATGTTTTGATATATATTCTAAATTGTTAAAATAGCACAACATATAACAAAGTAGTAAGAAACCAGCCATTAGGGAGTGCAAAATCAGTAATCACTTGTGCTGGTCCTAAGTCTGAGTAAATACCATACCATACCAATTTATTTCTAAAGCACTTAAAATACAAAATAGCAGCCGTCTCAAGTGCTGTACAAAAAAACCCCACCAAAAAACAGTAAAACAATAAAAACAACTAAATATATAACACCAGATTCCAAAAAAGTTGGGACACTAAACAAATTGTGAATAAAAACTGAATGCAATGATGTGGAGATGGCAAATGTCAATATTTTATTCGTAATATAACATAGATGACAGATCAAAAGTTTAATCTGAGTAAATGTAACATTTTAAAGGAAAAATATGTTGATTCAAAATTTCACAGCGTCAACAAATCCCAAAAAAGTTGGGACAAGTAGCAATAAGTGGCTGGAAAAAGGAAATTGAGCATAACAGCTGGAAGACAATTAACACTAATTAGGTCAATTGACAACATGATTGGGTATAAAAAGAGCTTCTCAGAGTGTCAGTGTCTCTCAGAAGCCAAGATGGTAAGAGGATCACCAATTCCACCATTGTTGCGCAGAAAGATAGTGCAACAATACCAGAATGGTGTTACCCAGCGTAAAATAGCAAAGACTTTTAAGTTATCATCATCAATCGTGCATAACATCATCAAAAGATTCAGAGAATCTGGAACAATCGCTGTGCGTAAGGGTCAAGGCCGTAAAACTCTACTGGATGCTCGTGATCTCCAGGCCCTTAAACATCACTGCACCTTAAACAGGAATGCCACTGTCAAGGAAATAACAGAATGGGCTCAGGAATACTTCCAGAAAGCATTGTCAGTGAACACAATCCACCGTGCCATCCGCCGTTGCCAGCTGAAACTCTACAGTGCAAAGAGGAAGCCATATCTAAGCAAGCTCCACAAGCTCAGACATTTGCACTGGGCCAGGGGTCATTTAAAATGGAGTGTGGCAAAATGGAAGACTGTTCTGTGGTCAGATGAGTCACGATTTGAAGTTCTTTGTGGAACACTGGGACGCTATGTCATCCGGACCAGAGAGGACAAGGATAGCCCAAGTTGTTATCAACGCTCCGTTCAGAAGCCTGCATCACTGATGGTATGGGGTTGCATGAGCGCTTGTAGCATGGGCAGCTTGCATGTCTGGAAAGGCACCATTAATGCAGAGAACTATGTTCAGGTTCTAGAACAACATATGCTCCCATCTAGACGTCATCTCTTTCAGGGAAGACCCTGTATTTTTCAACACGATAATGCCAGACCACATTCTGCAGCAATCACAACATCATGGCTACATAGGAGAAGGATCCGGGTACTGAAATGGCCAGCCTGCAGTCCAGATCTTTCACCTATAGAGAACATTTGGCGCATCATAAAGAGGAAGGTGCAACAAAGAAGGCCCAAGACGATTGAACAGTTAGAGGCCTGCATTAGACATGAATGGGAGAGCATTCCTATTGCTAAACTTGAGAAACTGGTCTCCTCTGTCCCCAGACGTATGTTGAGAGTTGTAAGAAGAAGGGGGGGAACAATTGCATGCAATAACCCCAGGAGATTTTGTTATGATTAAACCTTTCAGAAGGAAAAGGTGGAACTCCCCCAGGTGGACAGGACCGTTCCAGGTGCTGTTAACAACCCACACAGCTGTCAAGGTGGCTGAGCGAGATACCTGGATCCACGCATCCCACTGTAAGCTGTTCAGAGGGACCAATCCACCATCAGAGGGAGGACTGGGAGAGCCAAATCCCCAACAAGCACCTTAGGTTCACCTAAGTTGCCCACTCAGCTCACTCAGTGCCATCGGGCAGCTGAGTCAGCAGCTTATTTTAGACTTTGAGTCTAAATAAGCTAGGACAGCTCACTCGCTAGGTTCTTCCCAAACCTAGGCGAGGCGGCTCACTCACTGGGTCTCAAACCCAGGTGAGCCCCCCCCCCCCCGGTTACCAAACCAGCCCCTGTTTCGCTGCACCTCATCCATTGATCCATATGGAACTTTCCACCCTCCATCAAAAACTCTCTGCCCCTCTACACCCTACCAACTGCCCCCATAAAGAACTCTCCACTCTTCATCAGACTTTTTACAGGCTCTCCCATCAGGAAAAGACACTGCAAAAATGGGCCTACTGCAACATCCATGGAAAACCACCCTAGCACTGGGCCTACGGCATCGTATGGAAAGCCGTTGACAGACAGACTGGGGAGATCGTGGCAGTGAAGAAAATCTTTGATGCTTTCAGAAACAGAACAGATGCCCAGCGAACATACAGAGAAATCACGTTCCTCCAGGAGTTTGGAGATCACATCAACATTGTCAAGCTTCTCAACATCATCCAAGCACAAAATGATAAAGACATTTACCTTGTAGTGGACTCGGCCTCCGACAAAACCTGCCTCTGAGGACCTTCATGGGACAGGAACTATTATTTCATTGATTTGAATCCAGAAATACAAATTAGCTCATCCAGAGACTGTCTAATTGTATCCTGAAGTAATCAATTGAAAGAACACTCTTCTTTTATATTATCATCACTATTTTACAATATCTTGATAAATCAAAAGTGTGTTTAGTTCATACCATTTCTAAATGTTGAAGTGAACCACTCATTTTAAATCATCTGTGAAACAGTATTAATGATTTTTTAATCCTCATTTAAATTAGAAATCAAGTTAAATGTCTATTTTACAAAGTAATTATGCATTTTTGATCTTCTGTCTGAAATGAGAAGGAGTGATGTCGGTCGAAAGTCAGAAAAGGAGTTATTAGAACGAAGTGTCGTGTTTTTAAACCTAGCAGACGGTAAACAAGAAGCTACTGGCCTCTCTTCCTCCCACTTCGACATAACATGTCTTCTGTCTGTACGGGACGTTTCTAAAACATTCCTGCTGTTTTCTCGACTTGTAATGACCCTCTGACATCACTAGAACCACCCCCTGTTGGTTGCTTCAATCAATCAGGAAGTACTAAAGTGACCAGAAGGAACAACTCTTTAAAAGTCGACACTTCCTGGAACTATTGAGTTCTGGAGTCAGTGCGGCAGTTCTGCAGTTCTCAGTCTTGAGTTCTCAGTCTTGAGTTGAACTCAGTCTTCATGGAGTCTTCACTTCTGAGTGGAAACTCTGAACGGACTCACAGATGCTTGCTGTGAGTCCACCCAGGCATAAATGCCCTACAACTTCGAAGGGAGCTGAGCCTGTTTGTTGAACGGATAAGTGACACGACTTCTGACGGTGACCAGCTATCCTTACTGGAGACGCTGAAAGGTTGCGTTGAAATGGACTCCTGTTCCTGAGCGGAGGTATCCTGGCAAAGGTAATGAGTCGTGACGCGCCAAGTGTACCGGAGGTGAGCTGGTATTGAAAGGAGCGTGCCATCCTGGTCCGAACAGACACTCCCTTTATACATCTTCCTTCAAACCTCTCCATTTAAACTCCTCATATTTCCCATCTTTAAAACTCTTCTACTTTTCCAGTAATTAATCTAGAGGTCTTCAGAAATGTCTGTTGTTTTTATTAAGTAAAACGTGCCAAGTTTTATTAATCAGAACCAGATCAACTAATCAAATGTACAATGTTTTGATGTTAAATTTTGATTCTGTTCAATAAATGACCGCATTGATTCTGATGAGTCAAAGAAAATTAACGTCTCATGTCACTGATTAAACCATCTATGCACAGTTACTTCTGTCACATGGCTGTAATTTAGCTCGAAAAAGAGAGAACCCGTTATTTAAAAATATATTGTAGATAGGTACAGCAAAGCTGACCTTGACACACTACAACCTCATCTTTGAATACATGGATACGGACCTGCACACTTTGATAAAGAAAGGCTCTCTTCTGAAGGATATTCACAAGCGTTACATCATGTACCAGCTCTTAAAAGCTATCAAATATCTCCAAAGGAGTTTGTTTAGCCATTCTAATAACTTGTGGTTGCTGTTGTATACCTTGTATTCGCTCATTGTCCACACGTCTGATCTCGACTGCCCTCACTCCTGAACGCCTGGCAGAAACCTATGCCCTGTTACATAACAATGTCAATCCTAATTCCAATAAGTGTAACCCACCCACCCACTCTACTGTTTTTGTCCTGACCAACAAGAAGACAACCATTATGTAAATATTTTGTTCTATTATGTTTTTGCTTTTCACAATTTTGTCATTTTATTTTTATGATTTCTTTTACTTTTCGCTTGCTCTCATTACCGGGGTCTGTCCCCCACAAAAACAGCCTTAGCAGATTTCTAACTGATGTTTATGATAGCCATATGTTAAACCATACTCCGTATGACACATGTGCCTTGAAGGTTCTGTTAATCAGTGTCTATATCTCTATCTGTACATATTCGTGTTATTGTTGTTCCTATGGGAACAAAAGGGAGGAATTGTGGAATTGTGGAAATGAAAACATTGATACCAGTTTATTTTGTTCATCAATTTTATTTTATTTCATTTTCAATTGTATTATCACTCTTATTATTCATTTACTTTATATCACACTGTGTTAAGCTTATCTAAACAGCAGCAGTTGCATCAGTGTGTGAAACTTTTTAACTTCCGTTTCTCACAGACTGCCGGTACGGAACCCCAGCTCTAGAACCGGTCACACGGACCACAAACGTATTGTCTTTTTTTACCCCGATAAAATTGACACTGACCACAAACGTATTGTCTGTTTTTACACTGATAAGATGGCAAATGAGCGCCTGTTGTGTCAAAGCATGTTACGTGTGAAGGTGTACAAATGAAGCCGTACTGCTCATGTTTTTTCAGAACACACAGAACTCACTGAGCTGTGTTTCCTTTTCATGTGTTCTCCCTTCTGAAGAAGAGAAATAAACTTTGCTAGTCTTCTAAATTTTATTGAACAATAAGTTTGAAAAAACTCTACAGGATCAAGGCCAGGTATTTTCAACAATGGCTGCACCATAGCATGTCTAAAATTGCTTGGTACCACACTAAACATCAAATTGCTCTTGATCACATTTAGGATAAAGGAGCAAACAGTAGAAAATACCTCCTTGAGAAAACATGGAGGAACAACATCAAGGGGAGAACCTGATGATTTCATACTAGTAACCAGTTTCTCTAGATAGGACAGGGAAATAGGCTCCAAATGATTAAAAACAGCAGGACAGGGGACCGGGATGGAAGGGTCAAGCGATGGAAAAGAGATCAGAATCAGAATCAGAATCAGAATAAACTTTATTGGCATTGCACTGAGATACAACGCGAATATGTACGTACAGTCGTCGGAAGATGGGCGGAGTGTACGAAGCTGCGGCTATAAATAATTAGTGCGGCCTTCTTATTCTTATTCAGAATAATATTTTGCTTAGATAAGAAAAGGAAAGAAAACATGAGGAGAGACGGTATAAAAAAAGATCTCTCACACCGTGTCCTAGACAGGGCACAATTTGAGGCATCAAAAAAACCTACCACAGCAAAGCAACATAAACAGACGTTATACATGAACATATAGGCGGTGAAAACATTGAATTTTTAAGGGAAAGTCGTAGCATAGTCCAGAGCGCCCCCCCCCCCCCCCCCCCCCCCCCC